TACTATCAGCTACAACAATGATAAGGGAAAATAACAAGGGAAGAGAATACGATACCACCGGCCAAGAAAACGAGTTCCACCCGGAACCCCTGTCCTTCCGGGTAACTCCCAGTTACCCCTCACCCCGGGCATGACGTGCTGTGGTATGGAATACCTCCCCAGCTAGCCCGGGTCAGGCGCCCCATCTCTGCTTCCTCACAGCCTCCCCTCCTCCCTGGCAGAGCATGAGCCTCACAAAGTCCTTGGCCAAACCAAAATACCCTTGTTATCAGCTCTGTTCCCGAGCTGAAAGTCAAAACACTGCACTGCACCAGTTAACACAAAGGAAAAACATGACTGCTACTGCGGAACCCAGGACACACCCGAAGCCCGCATCTGCACCCGAAGCCCGCATCTGCACCCGAAGCCCGCATCTGCACCCGAAGCCCGCATCTGCACCCGAAGCCCGCATCTGCACCCGAAGCCCGCATCTGCACCCGAAGCCCGCATCATCCTGTATTGGTACACAAAGAAAAAGGACAAAACTGGTTCCCTGCACCAGAGCTGAAGCTGCACAATGATCCAGACCAGGTCAGTTCTACCTGGCACACAAAGATTACATTAACACAGCATAGCAAGTGCAAATCCTTCTTTCCAAACACACTGAGGCATTAAATCTACTGTAGAATAGATACAGCATTTCACAAAGGTGCAGTCCCAATCCTGCCTGACAGCTTTGTCCCCCTCTCCATTTCACCTCACAGTTATAAAGCTGTAAGGTAAGCTCATCTTCTGAATTGATTTACCCTGCATCTAATTGCTACATGTAACACACACAAAAAAGCAGTTAGTAGCAGAAATAAAAGCATTTCTTGTGGAAAATGCCCATAACGTTACAAGAGCTTATTCATAATACCAAACTGCCCATAGTCACGGTGCGAGATGACTGCTTGGGGTATTCACTGAATTACAGCCATAGATGAGACAGTTGATACATGAAAGTACACTATGGAAAGGACATGCATACGTATTCAGCAGTACTACTTGCACACATTCACATCCACAGAAACTGCCTTCAAATGAAACACCCTCCCCCTCCCGCCCCGAGTTTCACACAGATCCTTTCAGTACAGTAAATCAGTGTTGACACTGTTTCAGATAAAAATATCATCATCCACATCTTCCCCGTTTCTTCCCCCCCACCCCTTATCAGCTCCACAGGATCAGATTTTGTTAAAGGGGTGTGCCTGGGTTTTTGTTTGGGGTTCTTTTGGTTTGGTTTTTTAGTTCCTATCAACACACTTGTAAAGCATATTAGGAAAAAAAAAAACTAAAAACAGATGAAATCAGTCAAGAGTGAAAGCATTAGTCATGTTGACACACTGTCCTGCTAGTACTTCAAAGGAAACATCACCAAAATAAATGGAGCAGTTTTCACACCACAAAGTTGCTGCTAAGCTATAAACCACAACCTCAACTTACTTGGAATTAAATAACCGTTAATTATAGCTAATATGACAACAGCAGAGGGTTTGGCTTTAGTTTTTTGGTGGTTTATGTTTTTTGAGTTTCTCGTTTAACTTTCTACAGAGGCTGTCAAATACTCAGCTTAGTCCTGCCTATCTCCCTATCAAGTTGAACAAGAGTAATTTAAGTTAGCCAAATTTGAAGAGTCTTTCAGAGAAGCCCTGGCCAAACCAGCAAAATTAATCTAAATAGTGATATAAAATGTGATATATAGATATAGGCAGTTCTTAGACCACCGTTTTCAGGAAAAAGCGTACTTCATTACAAAATCTGCAGCGCTACATCATAAGACACATGGGACTTGTGCAGAAAGCGCAAGCAACCCTCTGGTCTCAAAGTGCTGGAAATGAAGAGTTGATCCTTCAGAAGATAAATCCTTTGTTGCTTTAAGAGTTTGGTGAGTACTATGTAACACAGCAATATCTGGAACGAGAAGCTGACGACTGGAAGAGTAAAAATATGGACAGGTCTGCATACACAAGAGTACGATTTTGATTAACTGTACTTCTGCAGTTTTACCAGTCATTCTCACACTGATTAAATTCTGCTTTGCAGCTCACCTTATGCCAATAATGTACAGGCACAAGGTTAAAGTGCCAAAACCAGCTTGAAACAGCACCAGAAGATAACTTGTCCGGTTTTCCCTGACGGTCACTGTTGGGTTGCATGCTGCAGCCTGTGTCTGACAAAAAAGCACAGGCAGATACCTGTGCCAGCCACAGGTTTGGCCCCTGCGCCCACCCTCAGAGGGGATATTAATACCCTCACAGGCCTGGCAAAGCAGATACTCACATGAGAGCTCCCTGACCTGCATCAACCAAAAATCACTCAGGTTAGCAAAGCTTACTATTAAAACCAGTTAAGCCCTGGTGCCTACTGAAGCAGGAAAGGCACATACCCTTTGTCAGATGCAGCACTGCCAGCAGAGATCCATACTTTGTCCACCAGCAGAAGAAATGTGTACAAGCTAAAGATTTGACCTTGCTCTATTTCTTATACACAGTTCAGCTCCCTTTCAGCAGGGGTTGCTGGCTGTTTTCAAGATTTTTTCTGACCCAGACATTAGATACGGGTTACTTTCTTTAGGGAGACTGCCTTCCTTCACAAACCATAAGGAAACTCCAGCAATTTCACTGGCTGCACAATCTTTAATTGCATAATACAATAAGCACACAGTGAATCAAAATGAAAATTGAGTATCAGCATAAGGAACAAGCAGACTAATCTTCCCAGTGTAAATATTTAGATTTCACATTACAGGTGAAAGCCAGTATTCACTGAACTAGCACATTAGCTTTAAGCATTCTGTATTTTGCATGTGAATTATTTAACAGCATGCCATAGTATCAGTGGGTTTTTGTTTGGCTTTTGCTCCCCATGCTCCTCTCCCCTCCAACTTCAATAACACAACACAGTCATGAAATAAATTCGTGTTGAAAGGGACTTCTGGAGGTCGTCTGGTCCAAGCCCTTTTCCCCCAAAGCAAAGTCAGCTTCAGAGTTACCCATGGTGTTCAGGGCTTTCTCTTCAGAGGCCGAGAAACTTGATCAGAGAAACCAAGGTAGGCTTTAAAAAAAGTAAAATAAAAACCCAAACCAAAACAAAACCCAGTCTCCCCCTGCTAACCCACAATCTAGCCTAGGCTATGGTTATTCTTAAAGACATCAGAACTCCCACTGCATTTCCACCATATTCATTCTCTTCAAGGCAACACTTCACAAGAAAACAAAACCAGTAAGAAAAACAAGTGTTAAGAAGATTTGAGGGGAAGAGATAAAGCCAGTTAATTTATCTACTGTTAACTCTTCTGTAAAAAACATCTCGATCTGTTCTTGCAGAATGCAACACACTTAGCAAATGGTGCCCAATCATGCGGATAGAGCAGCCTGAATGAACTGCAGAAGCAGCTGAGGACTGTACACCATGCCAGGTGATGTCAGTTATGTTCCCTGTATTACCATGTATATGTACACATACAGCTGAGCACCATCAGATGAACCTCAGTCCTGTGATAAGAGAGGGTCTGTAATGCCTCTGGAGAAAGAGCTATGGATAGAAGCAGTCAGACATTTCACAGACCTTAGGACTTCCCTCAAACAAGCATACTGAGGAAAGCTGTACAGTCAAGGAGAAAGCTGCGGGTTAAATGCCTGTGTCACAACTGGCCAACATGGACTAATAGGGGGCTACAACAATTTACAGAATTATTTTCAGGTAGAAATACTGTTACAGAAAAAGCCACCCAAAATACAAAGCACAGAAGTGTCACCAGGTGAACACTGCCTCACCCAGCACAGTAATGTGATGGTTTGCCTCCCCCAGTACTTCTGTTTTTACTTACATAATGGCGACTCCAAAACCAGGAAGCTGCCCTACAGAAAACTATTTGAATTCTCTACCATCTCATTTTTTGAGATGCAGCTCCTCCTACTACACCACTTTCTCCAGTCCCCCTTGCTGATGCTCTATCAATAACTTCAGAGCAGTTTTCACATATGAAGAATGCCCAGCTCAGGCTTTCAAGAATCATGCCCACACGCTCGTCTTGTAGTAAAACCGGTATCGAAAGCTTTTTTTTTCTCCTTCTCTGTTTCTCAAGTTTATTTACACAACACATGCCACCTCCTCTCTTCCCTGCATAAAGTGCAAACCTAAGTCCATCCTATGATACAGGGCAGTGCTTTTCATAGTTAGGACAATACGTTGCAGCAGTGAGAGAAGGAAGAGCCCAGAAGCAAACCCCCACCCAACGACACAAAACACGGACCAGCGACAGTGTCATCTGCCACAACAAAAACACTACCGGGCGTTATGCAGAACTTACTACCTTAACCCAAACGAACCCAGACAGCCGCCAGCGCTATCTGAGAGGAGCGAACCGGCTGTGTGACGGAGACGACAGGCACAAAGCGGCCGGGGGTCGGGAGCTCGGTCAGCCCCCGGGGGGGCCTGACGCCATGCACGGCCGTCGCCGATGGGGCGGGGAGGGGAAAGGGGGAAGGGAGAGAGCATCGCGGCGGCCCAGCTTCCGCCCAGCTCCCAGGCCCATCTTACCCCAAACCACCCCCAACCTTCCCCCTCGCCTCTCCGCTCCCCGGGGCGCTCCGCGGAGCTGCGGCGAGGCAGCAGCCGGACTCGGCCTCCCCAGCGGGCCCCTCACAAAATGGCTGCGCGGGGCCGGAGCCCAGCGTGAGGGTGGCATCGCCCACCGCCGCCTCCCCCCGCGGCTGCCTCTCGGCAGCGGGAGCGGCCGGAGCCCGCCGAGCTGGCGGCGAGCAGCGGACGGCGCCGCCCGGATGCGGGGCGGCGGGAGGCGCAAGCGGTTCCTGTAGGTGAAAGGTCGGGGGGCGCGGGGCCGCCCGCGGGACGCGCCGAGGCCTGAGGCGGGACGGGCGGCGCCCGGCGCCATGCTCGGCGGAGGCCGCGGAAGCCGCGCAGGGACGCACCGTTAGCGCACGGCCATGGCCGCGTCCGCTGCCGGAGGAGCGGCTCACCTGGTGGGTCCGGCGGCCTCTTCGGCCGGTTTATTTGGCGGCGGCGGTGGTAGCGGCGGCTCCGGCTCCCGGAGGTCAGAGTTCGTGACCCCGCCCCCTCGGCTCAGCGCCGCCCCGCCCCTCACCGCCGCGGCGGCTGCGCCTGCGCTTGCGCTCGCGCCTGGCTGCCTTGGGGGTGCTGGGGGGCTGCTGGGGTGGGGGCTGGGGGCCGCCCTGGGCCCCCCGGCACCTGCCGCGTTGGGCAGCGGTCGGTACCGGCGCTGCCGCCTCGGGCCTGGAGCGGTGCTGTGGGGAGCGCCGGGAGCAGAGGTGCCGCGGGCAAGTGGCATCCCTTACAGATGGGGAAACGTGGCTCTGACCCACGTGGTTCTGACAGCCCCGTGCCCGTGAGGAGAGCTCGAGTCTCCGTGTCTCCACTGCTGTTCTCTCCAAGGAAACGGCAGTGTGTCAGCTTTGGGAAGCTCGGTGGGATCTTCCCACTGGGACACACACATAGGTGAGACTTGAAGAGATGAAACATGGTGGAGAGACATCGACAGCACTGCCTCACGGTGCGAGTCACGCTCGCGGTTACTGTAGCAGTTCAGCCGGCAGCGCTGGGAAAAGCTGTCTTTCCCTGCCAGCATGGCAGCAGCAAAGTACCTCATTAAATGTCAGCGCTGCTCTGAGCAGGGCTTGGAAAGGCAGCGGGGAGCAGAGCCTGACTGCTCCTGAGCGCACACCGCGCTGCAGCAGGGCTTTCAGAAATGCGCCAAAACTGCTGCTCTGGCTGTGTCTCAACAGTCGTTTGGACCAAAGTTGAATTAATTAATTTATTCTAATCATTTTAGTAACCTTCGTCTTAAGTAAGAGTTACATACTTTAAATATGTCCCTTTCCACCCCCTCGTTTTCCACGTGTTCAATGAAGGTATAGCTGTGGTTAGAGATCAGCAGGAACTACAGGATCATTTAGGCTACCGGGGCTGTATGCACAATTTCATCACCTGAAATTAATTTAGACTATTTTACACAATCAGATGACATAAGCATCAACATCTGAGAAGCAGAGGTAGGAAAAAACCTCCAGTTTATGTGCTATGAATAAAATCATTCTTGTCAGTTGCTTCACTACTTCCTACCTAGTCCCATAGCTGCACTTGCATCTGGCTACTCTAGCTCAAGATCACTAACTAGTTCAATTAGCACATGCAGGCATCAGTTTGCTTTTTGATCAGACACATGCCCAAAAGCCAAATGCAAATGAACCTTACAAAGAAACTTTAAATTGGAGCAATTAACTTGCTAAGCATTTCCTGAAAGTGACAGATATAACACTCTCAGTTGACAGTACTTGTCACTTCCTAAACTGGCCTGAGCCTTACATCCACTTTATAAATGAAGGAACTTACTGCACTTTAATTTAACGAATACCAAGGAATTTGAACCAGAGCTTATTTCAGACAAGTATTCTGATACATTCAATAGAGCAGAAATGTTGCTGTGACCAATAAAACATGGGTTTGATTTTTTTCCTTTAGCAAGTGACCCAGTTCATACTTGATCTGTATCGCAGAGGCATGGAGCTGTGTCAGCCAGGATTACAAGAGACACATCCCTATCAAAAACATGCAGAGAAGCAAAACTCTTTATGCTGCAAATGCAAGTTACCAAAAAAACCTGCTTTCAAACATCCATCAGAGAAGTACAAGGAGGCAGCATAACTAACCTGACAGAAAAATCTCTCCTTTACAGGCCCTGCTAAAATACTTACAGAATCACAGAATCATTTACATTGGAAAAGACCTTTAAGATCGAGACCAACTGTTAACCCAGCACTGCCAAGTCCACCACTAAACAATGTGCCTAAATGCTGCATCTGCATTATCTTTCAGATACCTCCAGGGACGGTGATTCAACCTGGGCAGCCTGTTCCAATGCTTGACAACCCTTTTGGTGGAGAAATTTTTCCCGACATTCAATCTAACCTCCCTCCCCGCCAGCACAACTTGAGACCATTTCCTCTTGTCCTCTCTCTTGTTAGAACTAATGTTTCAGGTGGTCAAATCCAGCAGCAGTGTCAGTCTGTGCACACAGCTTACATTTTCTGGCTGTTTTCTCTTAGTAAGGGCAAAACATGAATTTTAAAGCAAGACTGATGGGCAGGATAATGACAAATTCTGCTGTTTGAATACACAAACTACATAATACATAAAAAAACATGATTAAAAAAGACGGAGATTCAACTAAAGTGAATTTATTTATACAAAAATGATACATATCCACAGGAGTATTTACAACAACTTTAAACTGTTTTAATTTACAAAATAAAGATTCTATTTGTTCATTTAGACAGTACAATTTAGGACTGCTCCAAATAAAAGCCTATTTGGATGGTAAATACAGGGGACAGCAGTTACGGCAAACAAAGGCATTGAATATGTCTTTCTAAACATCTCTTTACATTATGATGTAATTAATATACATAATTGAGTAATCAGTTTTTCCACACAAAAAAATATTTAAGTAAAATGTGTTCTATAGCTGCTCAACTATCCATTTGTTTTAAGTCCTTTGGGCACAAAAAATAGTTTTTGTTAAAAAATGTTAAAGAGAATTCAGGATCCTAGAACCTTTCATTTATCCAAGAATAAAGATGCTAGAACTATTACTCCATGCTAATGTTTGTCTCATACTCTACTAACCAATCTTAAATTAATTATTAGCTATAGATTCTTATAAGAAGAGGTAGCCAGGTGTTTAAAAACTTCTGGTCTTTTTTTAGTGTTCAGTCAAATCAAAAAGTGAATACTTTACTTTTGATGGCAATGGATCAAAATGGGAGGTGAGATGGAGAAATAAGGTAAGCCTGAAAAGCAATCATCTGAAAATGTTACGAAAATGCCTATGTTGTGGGTTCTTCATATGACACAAACCACTCGTGCTGGAGAAAGGGGAAAAATTCAAACATGTTTACAAAGACAATTTATTTCACACAGAATTAGGCTGCAATGTATACACTATTAAGGCTCCAGTCAATCTATCTCTGTCACAGAAAGATTTTTTTGATTGATCAGCTGCTTCTGGAAGAAGTCCTCTGATTTTCATAGAACACTTGAAACTATTTTTTCACTCTGCACCAAATCCTCAGAGGTAGTTTAACGCCACAGGAAGCAGAACTTGGGCGCCTTAATTCAGTACGCATTTTGACTTTTATTGCTCTGTTCTGCAACAGGAAGATCAATATCACATGATGAATTGTAATTAAATTAGCTTGCTCCTAGCGAAATCTGATTCATTTGCTGGTTCATGGCTTTGCATCTTAGTTCTTGTGCAGACCCTATGAAAATACTAAAAAGCTCTTCCCTTGGATAATACTAACTGGAAGAGCCACATCTCATCTATGTTATATTGGGTATCGGTTTTGTTTAGGATACAGTAAAATCCATGTCAGAAATCGCCCTGAAGAGACATGCTAATAGCTTACATAATTTTCAAAACCAGCTGCTGTCTGAAGCTAAGTAAAGGCCCTTTATATATAACAAGAAAAATATTAATTTATCATGTTTCTATTAAAATAATAAAAGAGAAGAAAGGCTTTGATCAGACTCACACTGAATTTGAAACACTATTTGGTCAAACCTCTAGCGTTCGTGAGGGTCAGATCTCCACAGCCTTAAGTCCCTGATTCAGAAAGGTACTCTACTGAAATGCCTGAAATCAATGAAATTACTTGTATACTTAACATTAAACATTGGCTTAACATTAACATAGGCTTCCAAACACACTATTAACAACAGAAGCTCTGGAAAATCAAGCTTCTTCAGAGCTAGTTAGTATCTTAGACCTGATCTTGAGGTATTTGAGGGAATAGGAGAATTTTGGTTTGCATTTTCATTCTTGGCCTTCCTGTGATGACTACTAACTATTCTATTATGCATTCTCTTTCCTTTGTGAGGCCACAGAATAGCTGTTAACATCGATTCAAACTATTAATTAACAGTGAATTGCTCTTAATTCTGTTAACCACAACTAGCTTGATTCAGAGGAATACTGAGAAGTGTTTCATACAGTAAAATTAACTGGCTACTTATGCACTTGACATAAAAATGGCTTCCTTTCATATGTTTTTTCATAGTTCTAGTTCCATTTATGCTATTACAGTGTTAAAAAAATTTCAAAAATTAAATAGAACAAATGCACCAGAATCATCAGTAACTATTTCCTAATGAGGTATACTGATGATTTTCTTAAAGAAAAAAAACCCTAACACCTAAAACTGAATTGTATTTTAAAGTGTCGAACAGAAAAAAGCATAGTGTAAACAAAAAAAGGTATTTCAAAGAATTGTACACATTTTCAATGCCATCTGCACTAAAATAGCTGGGTTTTCTTTGTATGGCAATTCCAGTTTAAACATAATATTTAAATATAGTTTAAAATTTGGGGAAGGGTGTGTGTGTGCATATATTGTTTAATGTTCTTTGAACAGTATACAGTGTTTCATGCTGCGTACAGAACCCATTTGACACAAAGTTTTGAAGCAAATAATATATTTTGTCTTTTCCCTGTGTATCAAAAATGTATTTTTCATTCTGCTTTAAATTACTATTGGAAACATAAAAGAAAATACACCCTGTGATTGTTTGAAGATAACTCATTTAGTCTCTTTGGCATCTGTAATACTGAAAAAGCTCTAGTGCCTTATCTCTGTAATTGCAAAAATCTGTTTTACATTATTTTTCCCTTTTCTCTTTTTGTAGTAATTGAACTTTATTTTGCATTGTTTCTGTGATACAGAATTCATTGTACTGTTTTAATGTACTGGTAAGCAAGATTTCAATTGCCATTCAAGGAAAGGAGCAGCAGTATCATACAACTTCTCATAAAGGAGTTTACAAAGCCAACAAAGATCCAGAATCTTTGCAATTCCTATTCTAATCTGTTCTTGCTAACTTGCAAAGTGAGCATCGGCAATTCATGACCTATACACAAATAATGAGGAACTGTACAACTGCAACAGATTTGTTTTGTGTTTTGTTTTGTTGTTTGTTTTTTTTTTTTTAAATAAACTTTAGGAATATGTTGACCAACCCCTCACCATTCTGAAGACACGGGCACTTTGGACCTCAGAGCAGACCTCACAAATCATTCTGACCATTTAAGTAAACACTGGAATTTAATAAATAACATATTTTGTATCAACACAGAAATACACACAGTTCTTTAAAAAAATATTACCTTACACTAAAAATGCAACAACTGCTAATCCTGACAAATATACAATTTTGTGGAAGCTGAGACGGCAGGATTCCATTTCTTTGAACAGCTGCTGTACTCTGTTTTACCACCATTCCTGGACATTTTCCTTTAAGCTTGCAGACACGATGCTGACACTGCTATAATATGGTGCCTTCTTGAAAAGCTTCTATCCACCTATTAGAAAATTAAACACTGTTAGGCAGTTGCTGGTAAAAGTGTAAATCACACTGTTTTGACTAGCTACAGATCCACACAAGAAATAATATCATACTGGCATTAGCAGTTGGTCTGTTTGTGCAAATGCCAGAAATACATTCAGTGAGTCCAAACATACAAAGCTTGCTAGAGATGTATTAGTTATCAGTACAAGGCCAGATGATAGAAGCATTGAAGGCAGTACTGGACTAAGAAATTTATCAGCTCTAGCAGTAAACGTCTTGTTAAAATTTATTACTGTACTTACACAGATACAGAGAGATTTTCTTGGCCCTAGTTGGACAAAATAGCGTCCGCTGATGTAAACAGGCCAACAGCATGTTCTTTGGTTTTTTTTTAATGCTATCAAAGCAGCATTTATTCTAGAGGTTCAGCATAAGTCTCCTAACAATATTACTCAAACAAAGCTTGCATTTTAAGGTACTGAACGTTATTCCTAGCTAGAGTAAAAAAGAGTATGTCCAATTTCAAGTTTTCCTACTGATGAAAAAAAACAATTGTCTGAATAGGAAAACAATGCTATTGAATGCCTTGGATCTTTTTTTAGTTTTGTTTTATACAGTACGAATAAGGACACAGTGGAAACAAGGGAATGGTATTGTAACTAACAAGAAAATATTTGTATGCATCTGCAAGACAAAATACCCCCCAAAATCAATTAACGACTTACAGATTTTGTGTAGAGAAGTGTATTTAAGCATGTTTGCAGCTGTTCAGAATTTTCAGTTGTGCTATTTTGTTTTCTTGAATATCCCTATTTGCACAAAACTATTCATGCAGCCCTTTGAATGCTTAAGTATTAATAATGGACTAGTTAGCACATGACATCTATTGTATTAATGTAAAATTCATTTGGGAGAACTGCAGTGAAACCAGTCATATAAGATAAGCATACAGGCAAGATTAATCTACTGCTTCCACGCTGAATTCTAGTTACTCCATGATTCATATAGCAAATATTGTCTCCTGATTAATGCCCAAGCTTCTAGGTTATTTCATATAAATCACACATAATACATACATTGATAAATATGACTCCAAACTCAGACACATCAGCAGGACTTTAAATGAAACAGCTTGTGTAAGTATTCTTTGAATTCAAGCTTTTGGTCTGAACGTACTAAGCATGCCTAGGTGCTCACGCATATCTGCACACACACTTCAAACGTGTGTCCCTTACTTTGTAGGGTTTGCTTTATTTTCACTGGCATATATTAATTAAAAATAATTAAAATTTACAGCTGGAAATAAAAGAAGGGACACATCAGTTAATTCTTAAAACACATTTTCTGATTTCTCCAAAGGTAACATTCAATTCTCACTTCAGCAGACCAGGGATAGAGGAATAGGCTAAAAAAGAAAGGTTTTTTATTTTACCTTTCTAAAACTTTTTCATTCTCATATATTTATTCTTTTGCAAAGGACAGTCTGCTTCTTCATTCAAAGCATTTCAGAAGTCCTAATGAAACCAGGACCTTATGTTTAAGTAATTTAAATGTTTTGTTTACATATGTTATAATATGCATTTTCTGTACATATGCTTAATCTGTGAACATTAATATTCATGATTTCTGAACCATTTTCTAGAAAAAAGTAACAAATCAAATAGTTTCTTACTTTTGAGCTGAATGGGGATCATCTGCTTTAAATATATAAAATAAAGTGTTTTTGTGCAGTAAATGGAACACTCTAGACTCTGAGTTTTCATCTTTTACTTCACTGACTGTGAATCCAAGTAAAGGCTGGCTCTCTAATGCTGCCACATCCTATTTTATGGGGGAAAAAAAGCAAACGAGACAAAATTGAGCATGTAAGACATACTAAGAAATGCATTTAGACTTACTCATGCACCATACCATTGCAACATACTATACAACAAACAGGTTGTTACAAATAGTCACGTACAAAATGCTGCTTTTTATAGTCTCCATGCATGAATCGAGGGACAGGAAATAACAAAACCTCATAGACTTCAACATAGCTGTTCCTCTTTTTATTTCCCATTTCCCTGGTAACATCTTGATATTCTTTTCTCAAGCACAGGAGTCACACTCCAAATACTTATGATGGTTAAACTTATTTTGCTTCCTGGTGCTGAAAACTAAGAGCTGTCCTGGGTTCAGCAGTAGCAGTCATTTTTCTCCTTCTTGGTAGCTGGTGCAGTGCAGTGTTTTGACTTTCGGCCTGGGAACAGAGCTGATAACAATGATGTTTTGGTTTGGCCAAGGACTTTGTGAGCCTCATGCTCTGCCAGGGAGGAGGGGAAGCCAGGAGGAAGCAGAGACAGGACACCTGACCCAAACTGACCAAAGAGGTATTCCATACCACAGCACGTCATGCCCAGGATGTAACTGGGAGTGAGCCGGAAGGGCTGGGACTGCAGGGTTGGAGGAGGTATCGGTCAGAGCTTGGTCGGGCTTGGGGGGCAAGTTACCAGTCAGCTGGTGCTGAGGTGTTGTATTCTCTTCCCTTGTTATTTCCTTTATCATTGTTATTATTGGTGGTAGCAGTAGTGATTTGTGTTATACCTTAGTTACTAAACTGTTCTTATCTCAACCCGTGGGAGTTGCATTCTTTTCAGTTCTCCTCTCTGTCCCTCCGGGAGCAGGGGGAGGGCAAGAAAGGGGGGGGAGTGAGTGAATGAGCTGTCTGGATGGTTTTAAACCACGACAGAGCATAGGGAAAAAAGGTTGCTAAGCGTTTTCCTAGCCAAGTGGTTGGCTAGTACAGAGTAGCAAGAGAAGCTGCACCTTTCTACCTCCTCTTCATTTAATTTCAAAACCTGGCTAATAAGGCAACCTTTTCCCTTCCTCAGTCATCTCAATTGCTTCTTTTTTTTATGCCCAGGATTTCTGGAAGGGGGAAAAAGGAAAACATATTTTCATCCTTTGCATATTGCAAAACAGTGTTTTGTAACTAGGCAGGGACCTGCAATGCTTCTGGATAGTAAAAAAATAAATAATGAATGCACATAAACACCGACACATCAGGTGAAGACTTTGGTAATTGCGTCTACATTGAAACAAGAGTATCCCGAGAAAGCAACATTTCTTGATATTGGAAAACCGTCAAGTAAGGCTTAGAAATCTGGTTTAATATCTTAGGCACCTTTTAGTATCTTAGGTAACTTTTAGTATCTCAGGTACCTTTTAGTATCTTAAGTTTTTGTACCACTAATAAGTGGTCTTTTTAGCACTAAACTTGATATCACATGGAACTAACAGAAGTAGTTTAACTGCAGCTTTCTGGCTAAGGCCACACTGGACCTTCCCTTGAGCCTCTAAACAATGTCTCCTGCAATGGCTCATCAGGATGAAAAATAAAGACAGCTATTCCTTAGTTTAAAGAAAACAGGAAAGAGTTAATTTTATGATTTTGATCTGCAAACTGAAGCTACTCTGGAAGGCTAATATCAGCAAAAGAAAATTTAAGGTGACTGTCACAGCCAAATATGCCTTTCTTTACCCTTTGTTAAAGTCTCCTTTGCAACTACCAGGAAAGACACATTGCTGTAAAATATTTGTCAAATCTTTGCAAAAGTACCTAATCAAAGGTAGTTTTACAAATACTTGGGGTTTTACTATTGACAATGCTGTGGTGGAAATAACATCACAGTTTCTGGACGTAATTCAGAAATTCAAAATAAAGACTGGCACTACAGGAGGAACAAATCTGAGCATAAACCAGGAAATAGCTAGAGTGGGAGTGGCACGAGGGTAAAGAAGGGTAATTCTTTACAAAATATAAGGCCCAAGATAGGCTGGGCCTTACATTTTGGAAAAAAAGTAAAGGATGGCAATGCCTTTAAACAGATGCCTTGGATATTTTGCTCTTCAAAGCTATTAGCAAACTATAATATGTAATACACAAAGGTGAAACCCAAGATCTTCCAGTGCTACAGTGCATCCATATATGCTGCAAGACATTATAAGATGCAATAAAACTACATCCTCAGCACATGCTCGGATGTTCCAAGCTTATACATATTGATTAGATTATTCCACACTACAATAGGACTACACATTCTAAACAAGAAAAGCAAATGCCATTAGATAAGATGCATTTCTTTTTTCTACTGCCACACTGTGTATTAAATAGTAACTCCAGGCTGAAGATGACAGTTTGAGGAGAAGAGATTTAGTCTGCTCATTTTCCAAACATTCAAGATACCATATGGAACTTCAGAACAAGATACTTCAAGATGCTTTTATAAGGTTGTCTTTGCCACTAGCCCAGCATGATGCATCCAAACAGACCTCCATGTATTCAGCTGACTCAGAACATACCTACAACTGTGCAATGGTGTGTAATGCAGAAGTACTCAAAGCTAGGTCTGGAATCAGAAACAGTGGAGCTGTATCAGCATCTTATGGTACTAAGTCACTGGGCCTTTTCAAAATACTATAATGCAATCAGACCAGTTAGCATTAGGTGATCTAACTATAGCTTGTTGCCAGATGATAAAAATAAACAGCTTTGTAACAAAGAAAGTATTATCATTGGCTATTTGATTTCTAATATGTAACCTCTTACCTCACTAGCAGCATATGTATATAGCACCTTATTTTTTATAACAAACCACAGGTGTTTCCATGGTTTCTTACTGCCCTTAGATCTGTGTAGATAGCCACTCATTGTAGAGTCTTCTGTATTTGCCGAAACCTGAAGAGACAAACAAACCCCAAAAGTATGTATGCATCTGACCAGGTTTTTGCAGTACAGCTTTTTTTAAAACAGATCTCCAGTGCCCTGTCCTGTCAAAGACTCCAATTCTTACCCGATCTCAAGTTAATGTTGCTAATTAACTCAGACAGCTGAAAGAAAACTGATTTTGTCTGCCACCTTCTGTCTGGTCTGCAAGAGAGGTTTCTGCAGTCATTAGGGTTGGGACTTAAATTGGATGCAACAAGACAAAAGAGGGCTGAAACACTGAGGATCACACACAGATGGAGAACACACATTTATGTAAGAAGAAAAAAATTACTTCCTTCCATTCCCAAAACCTCCAGCATAGGCAGGGAGAGTTTAGCTCTACATTTCCTAATCGTAAGCTAAGAGCTGAGGTGGTGTAGGCATTGACTGTTGGTGCAGTGGTAAATCACCATTCCTTGAAACACAGGGAAGCAGGAAAGAAATTAAAATTCCAACTATCTCCCTGAATCACAGTCTCACAGGTGTTTATGCAGTTTATATTCTGCTTCAAAGTTCAGGTCCCTGCCTAAAACTAAAGGGCAAGCCACTGTTACAGGCAAATTTTGACTTTGCAGATTTCTAAAAGAAATGCCTAAATATGGAACTATTTTTTTCATTGTTAATATTGATGATATAATGTCAACTTTTGATCAATAAAGCGCTTACTTCTTTGAGGGCTGCAGGAATTTTTTTCTGCTTTCTTCCAGAGGGAATGCTGTGTAAAACTGTAGACAAGGCACTTGATGGAGATTTATGGTTGACTGGGGATCCACTCTTAGGAGTGCACTGGTTATCTAAAATACATAGGATAAATATATGGCTTTCATGTCATAGGTGACTAAACACAGGCAGTGATTCTTGGACTTTTTTCTTAAAAACAGCTGACATTTTTCTTCTGATTAGCTGTTTCAAAAATAACAATCACACTGTGTGGAATTAACTTTTCAGTATTATCATCAACAACATGAATTAGAATCTCTCAGATCACACCCAGACTGAAAAAAAAAAGCCCACAAGAAAATGAAAACCACATGGATTGGTCTTGTTTGCTTACAGTCTGTGCTCTTGATGATGAACTACCTTTGCCTATATGCAGGGTGAAAATTAAGTCTTAAAAACCACACCAAAGTTTTAGAGCTGTCCTCTGCAGTTCAGCCTGTGCTTAACATCTGTTCCCCAAAGCAGTCCTCTACATCTGTTATCTTCTCAGCTTTTTTCAGTATGGGTGCTACACAGTTCCTCTTCCAGCATCATGCCATCATTCATGCACTTCTGGAGATTCCCATCTCCAGAGTCAAATCCATACTTCTCCACTGCCACTGGCATTTCCTTTATCTCTCTTGGAAGACTTCTGCAACACTTCACTCCTTTAAAACCCTATTTTCTAGCAAGACCTACCACTGTTTCACAGCCCATCCTGGAAGGAATAGCTTCATTAAGTCTACTTCTAGAGTTGTCCCTGAGCAGAGCCCCTGCCGAGGCTCTGAAATAGTAAGCAGAGCAGGAGAGCAATTGGATTGCGACCCGTACCCACTTGCTGTGCAGCTCTCCTCCCAGCTAAAAGCACCTGCAATTGCCTGCAGCACAGTAGCCTCTAGTGCCCAACCCACAGACCTGCAGGTGGTCCATACAATCCACCTTCTGCATTATGACAGGCTCCCACCAGCACTTCAAGGGTTGCCGATGCTGCTTTCCATATCCCCATGAGAAATGTCACTGCCAGCATGCTAGAAGCCATAGCCTGATTATTTCCCTGGGGAATCACAGATTTCCTGATACCCTATAGAGCTTGTGTTGAACTGTAGCCTCTGCCAGTGGGAAACGCAGCAAACTGTTCCAGTCCCTGCTTATGGCTGCTTGCATATTTTATACTAGAGTCTTTGGGCAGAATTCAGAGCAAGTCTTGTGAGATGGGACTGGATTCCCATTTCACTCAGAGATGCCTCCATTGACTTTATGTTCGTTTCTGCATAAAGATAAGATGAAAAGCAATGTAACACCAGTTATCTCAAGAAGAAAGAGGTATATGGTACATGTCATTACCATAGGGCACATGCACGTTCCTGGAAGAAAGAGCCAATGTATTGAAAATTCACTTCCTAGCTTACTCCACAGAAACTTGCTTGGGCCTTTTATAAACTCAGATGCCTAAGACTTGTCAGTGACTAGCAGAATTAGGCAGTTGAATCCAGCAGTAAAGATGAGGCACAAACATATCATGTTAATAAGGGCCACAAAAATAAGACAGCTTGTGAAGAATTTCTTTACCTTGTTTCTGTAGCTCCCTGAAGCAATGATCACATACTCTTGCTGGCTGGTTTTTCATGTAGTCTAAACCATGTTTATTTGATGAACAAGCTTGACAAACAATCTGGAAACGGATAAAAGCATTATTGTACATGATGTGCGCTTGTAAATCACCAAATGCTCAAAGACATTCATTTCAGCACTGTTAAGCCTGTAACAGAACCTGGTTTAAGTTTTTGGTTTTACCCTATGTCCTTATGTTCAACATGCTGCTCTTTTCCTCCTCTAAATGATAACAATTTAAATATAAAAAAAATAAATCACTGAGTTACACAAGTTAATAAACCAACATTAACAATCCATGAAGAGAAGAACAAACTTACTGTGTTACTGAACTGTTTAAATCATAAGATTTTAAAGAAATAACTAAAAATAGTAATTGCTCTCTTGACAATTTCTCTACAACACAGATGTCTCAACTGCACTGAATTCTGTATTCTCACTTGATTAAAACAAGAAGAAAGGTTTATTAGATATACCTGTCATAAGTGTTAAATATATATATATAGTTTGGTACCAACATAAAACCAAAAATCATTATTTATCTTATCAAAATTGTCGAGGAAGATATTTTTCCTCATTTCAGCTTACATCCTCTGTTTGTACAACGTATTTACAGAAGCGGAAGACAATTGTAAATAGTACTCCAAAACACAAAATAAGAAACATGTAACAGATTAAAAGGTTGAACACTGCTCTATTATAACACCTTGCTCTAAAACAAAGAAGCAGGCAACTCCTACATGATGGTTTTAATCCATACAATTGTGTCACAGTACAGCATTCCCTTAAAAGAGCTGTGGTGCAATCAGGCTCCATCCGCATTTGTCACACAAGGAACCTGAATGACTAACGGAAAAGGTGATGACAAAATTGCCCAACCTTTCCACATGCCCTGCAGTGATGCCTTCTCCAAGTCAAGGTGAATTCACTTGTGCAGATCATACACATTGTGGCTCTAGTATCAGGGATCCAGATTGGAGCCTTTGATCCGAGCGGACTATCTTCTTCCTGTTTCTCTGGATCTGCCTGAGAGAACATAGGCAGAATATCATTGCATTCAGTGATGAGAAATAAGATTAATATTAATCAGTGATTGTAGGGCAAGTCTAATTAACATTGGAAAGCCTTCTCTGATAAATTGTCATGGTTTTAAATGTTATCTTCTATTTCATCAGTGACCATTATAATGCAACCCTGAAGAGAGAGCTGTATTTCACAGTATCACAGTATGCTGGAGATTGGAAGGGACCTCAAAAGATCATCTAGTCCAATCCCCCTGCCAGAGCAGGAACACCTAGATAACGTTACACAGGAATGTGTCCAGGCGGGCTTTGAATGTCTCCAGGGAAGGAGACTCCACAACCTCCCTGGGCAGCCTGTTCCAGTGTTCCGTCACCCTCACTGAGAAGAAGTTCCTTCTCAAGTTTAAGTGGAACCTCTTGTGTTCCAGTTTGTACCCATTACCCCTTGTCCTATCATTGTTTGCCACTGAGTAGAGCCTGGCTCCAGACACTCCCCCTTTATGTATTTATAG